CTGTGATCCTTGACTTTTATTAGAGCTTTCAGCTGGGAATACATGCTCTTGATCTATATTCCTGGTAGTCTTTGTTCATTTTTCCTGTGAATACACTCTACTCCTTTATGATGAGGCAGCCATGGAAGGATTGAGAAGGCTAAAGAAGCCGAATAAAACTTTCTAACGTTGTAGTATACAGTCACATCATGGAGAATATTGTTTTCCAGGATAAAATTTAAAATTCATCTTCTTAATACATAGAACCAGGTTTAGAAGGTTGGTCACAATGTGCCTTGTCTGTCAAAAATGTAATCTAAACACACTATTAATTGCACAATCTCATTTAAGCTTTTGATGCTTTTCCCCTTTCCACCTTCTTTATCCTCATTGCTGCTGAAACTAAAAAAATAAAAAGGAAAGGGAAAGACGATGACAAGGTTTTGCAATACTTATATCTACAAAGTATTTTCTCACTTCCATTTGTGAAAAACAAAGAAAATGAAATGAACATTTAGTTGCTTTTCAGCAGCTATCTAGAGTTGATCAAATCCTCCCTCTCTTCTTCTTTCAAAAAAACATCACCTGGGTATCCCCACACTAACTTAGAATTTGAACTTCATGCCCCAAATGGTCCTTCCTACACTATTATTTTGTTATAAACATAAAAATGTATTAAAACTTCCAGAAAAAATAGTCTCTTAGTCTTCTATCCCCAAATAGCAAAGAATCTTGGGGTTCCTAAAACATTAGTTATTGTAGTACAAACATTCATGGATTATATCCTTCCCAAAGCCATCCATCTATCCATCCATCCATCCATCTATCCATCCATCCATTTTTATTTGATTCAGCTGCCACTAGTTATTAATGATTATTTAAAACTTACTTAATTTATGGCATTCCACATTAACTACACTTTGATTTCATTTTCTTTGTTTTTCAAAAGAGTCACATAAATGATTTTGGCTGTAACCATTTTAGCAGTCATCTTTCTCCCAAAGTCTGCTAAAAGTGTTGTCTGAATATGGTTCTTGAACCACAAGGCTTCTGTCTATTCCTTCTTTAGATACAAATCACTTCTCACAAAAATGAATTATCATAGATGCTCCCCAACTGAAGGATAACATTTACTGCTTCAAAGACCTATTTCTGGTCTTGAGATTATAAATATTTTTTAATTAACTGTCCTAAACAAGAACTAAGTTGACATATGAAGAAAATATAGACTTCCATGCATACTATTGTATATTGTGATGGGGACTTGTCTTCATCTACAAGCTTGTGATTTGTAAAATATTTAGGAGAACAAGACAAATATTAAAATGTTTATGTTATGATAAACAAGCATTCTTATGGACTTCTTATTAACCAGCAAACATATGTGGGGAGAAGGCCGGCAAACAAATATAATAAATAAATAAATATTGGGTTATATCTTTTCCACAAACTCCTCCTCCATTCTGAGTATTTTAATTCATTGAGTAAGTGTGTACTTAGATTAAAGGAGAGATACAACAGTTCTTGCTTAATGACAGGTCTCTTCACAACTGTTCAAAGTTACAATAGTTTGAAAAAAGCTACTTATCATCTTTCCTTGAAGGTCACTGCAGCACTGTAGCAGAAAATAGTAAAAAATTCCCATTGAATATGCTAGAATCACTTAATGACCCATGATTCACTTAATGACTGCAGTATCTCACTTTATGACCATCATAAAATGGTCATAATATTGAGTTAAGTCACATGGTGATCTGCTTAATTACTACAGTGACTTATGACTAAAATTCTGGGGTCAGTTCTGGTTGTGAGTCAAGGACTATTGGCAGTCAAATGGAAATATTGATACTCAATAGCACATTTAAAGATAGACATTTTCTTCCTCTCCCTGTCAATCTCATAGAAAAGCATTACTAGTTTCTACAATTCCCATTAGGTCCATATAAAACTATATGTCACAAAACAGACATGTGCTTTGTTACCATGCCAAAGAAAGATCCTAATTGCTCAAAGAATAGGAATATGAGAAGAAAACAAAAGCTGAAAGCAGCAGTGGTATTTTTTAAAATCTCTGCAAAAGGAAGAAAAATACCACCCAACCTTCATCTTGCTGAATGTTGGTGCGTGCAATTTCTTTTCCCCTATTCTCCATTGAAACCAGTAGCACAATATGTAATCAGGATCAGGTGGGAAATTTGAAATATTGAAATAACTCAGTGATTTTTCAATGATTCATTTTCAAACTTGAATAAAAATAAATAGGCCATTAGCTAGTAGAATCAGCCTGATAAGCTAAAACAATATAAATATTTGAAAAAGTCTGAAGAAATGCGAAAGTTTTTAGCTAAGAGTTGACATTCCTGAAAAATGTGTGTCATCATTTCTGTATGCTGAGGAAACATGCTCTTTTAATAGCATTTCTTCACTAGTCTTTTACAGTGTTATCCAACCATCATTGTAATAATATGTTGTATAGAGTTTTCTTTATATTGATTTTTCCATGTGGGTCAATGAGAATAATTTTTGACTGTGATAGCTTAGAGCAGGCATGTCAAACTCGCAATGTCACATGACATCGCATGATGTATCGTGACTTTTTCCCCATTGCCGGCAATGGGGTGGGTGCGGTTTTGGTGTGACACATCTGGCCTACGGGCTGGCAGTTTGACATGCATGGCTTAGAGAAAGAAAAGAAAGAATAATAATGAAGATAGATTTTATATAATTTTAAAGAGTTGGAATGATCCTATTTACAAATCAGAAAACAAGCTAATGCTAATAATTTATATATATTAGGCAGTTGTATAACATACATACTTAATATATAACAGGCATGGAGATTACATAATGTAATGAGTGAGTAAAAAAAAGATGTATGCTTACTTTTGCATCATTTAAAAGCATGTTATAACCCATGAAATCTTCAGCTGGCCACTATTTCATCAAAGCTAGGGGAAATCTGATATTATTTTAATATGAGAGATATACTCTCCAAAATGAATAAGCCTGTTCTCCAGAGAATAGAGATGAAACAACCATATGGTATACCATCTGAATTTCATTTCTCCAAGCGAGCTTCCACTTTAAGTCCATTTCGTAAACTTTTATAATAGGCATGCTGCACCCGGCTAATTAAAGTGATTAGAATCATTATTGCACATCATCATCAGAGGATAGAGGCAAGTCTTTCTGAAATAATAATAAGCCTTCCCAGTGAATGCCATTGATCACAGAGTAGCTCTCTTTCAGATACAACACATTTGTCCCCATTTCTTACAAGAACAATATAATGGTCATTTCTTTTTCTTCTTTTAAATAAGGAATACAGTGTCTATGGAGATTCTCAATCATCCAGATCCTGGTTGTCCCAAAGGTACTTTTTTCAAAAAGCAACTGGGCTTTCTTATGTTTTTTTTCTTTGAAAATGTTTCACTTCTCATCCCATAAGCTTTTTCAGTTCTAATTGACTGGTAGGGAATGGATTTATATTCTTTGCAGTCATCTGATCTGAGGGTCTGTTGTTAGTTCTCCATGAGTCATGAAGGCTACTTGGGGGTTTATCTGTATCCTCAGATTCACCCAAATCAGAGTGCAAGCATTGTGATGTCTTCTTGGGACCACTCAAAGGTCTGTGTTGTAAACAGGAGACAGGTGGTGTCATATCCCTCCCCTCTGTTGAGGAAGGGCTGTTCAATTTTAACATAGATGGCCTCTTTGACTCTTCTTTCAAACCAGTGGTCTTCTCTGTTCAGAATGTGAACTTTGCTGTCTTCAAAGGAGTGACCGCTGTCTTTCAGATGCAGATGGACTGCTGAATCCTGTTCCTGATTAATTTGTTCAGTGTTGTGCCATGCATTTGTGAAGTGATTGCTTTGTTTCATAGTGTACAGGTCTGCACATGACTCACTGCATTGTACTGCATATACCACATTGCTCAGTTTTGTCCTTGGGGTGGACAAGCTTCTGCTTTAATATATTCCTGGGTTTAAAATATGCCCATATGTTGTGTTGGCTGAAAATCCTCCTGAGCTTTTCAGATATTCCTGTAACATATGGAATGACAAGGTTGTTCCATTTGTTGTTCTCCTCTTTGTCTGTTATGAAGGAGCTTCTGCTGGATCTTTTTGTGGATTTGATGAAGGCCCTGTTAGGATAGCACAAGTTCTGTGGGCTTCCTTAATGTGTTTTGGTTCTTTCTCTTTTCCCTCCTTGCTTGTTGGCAAACCTTCAGACTGGCTGGTGAGAATCAAAATGTAAATACTCATCTTGTGTGTGGATGTTTTGTATAGTTCAGTGATGAAGCTTCTGTCTTCCTTAATATCCAGGAAGACTAGACTATTCGACTTATCATTTTTCTGTGGAGGTGGAAGCCTTCAAACACATTTACTCTGTGGACAGCAACATTAAGTTCTGATAAGAGGATTGAAGGAAAATAGTCTAGCCTTCCTGGACTATGCAGTAGATGTTAAGGAAGACAGAAGCAAAGTTCACATTCTGGGCAGAGATGACCACTGATTTGAAAGAGGAGTCAGAAGCCATCTATGTTAAAATTGAGCAGCTTTCTCTCAATAGAGGGGGAGGGATACAACATTACCTATTCTCCTGTTTACAAAGCAGTCCTTTCAGCAGTCCCAAGAAGGTTCCATACCAATTTGCACTTTGATTCAGGTGAGTCTGACATAAACCCTCAAGTGGCCTTAATGACTCTCAAAGAGCTAATGACCGATCACATGTCTGTAAAGAATATAAATCCTTCCATTCCCCACCAGTCAGTTAGAACTGAAGAAGTTTCTTGGATGACAAACAATTTTTTTTCAAAGAAAAAAAAACCTAAGAAAGTCCAATTGCCTGTTGGAAAAAGCACCTTTGAAAGAAATGATACAGTGGTAATATTTATGTTTGTGTTCCTTTTAAAAAATTACAAATCTAAAAACTACAGGGCATAAAATGTATTATTTAGTTAGCTAATAGTGTGGTTGGGTTGTTTTTTTTTTGTGTCATAGTAGAAACAATCAGCTTACCTGAAAACATCATCATATGTTGAAAGTTCCTCGGAATTTTTTGTTTTCGGCCCAGGTTCAGAATGAATGATATTGGATATATGTTACAGGCTCTTGCTACAAAAACTGCCACCTACATAATTTGGGATTAGAAGCTGAAGAAAATAATGAAGGACTATATGATATAAGACCAAGATTAAGCAAATATATTATTTAATTCAGAAGCAGAATCATAATTTACCTGGAAGTGGAGTAGGAAAAAATATAATATTCTCATTGCTACTCACAGTCTGCCCTTTCTTTGAGCATCTTACTCTTTTAAACAATCTTTATAATTCTTTCTTGAACACTGTACCCTAACTCTACATTCATATTCCATCTTTGTCAAGCTTTGTCCCTAAATCTTTGGGAAATCTTCACTATATTTTTTTTTATATGCCAACACAAAAGAAGAGAGCCAGCTGATGTGGTAGTTCAGATGCTCGCCTAGAAACCAGGAGACTGTGAGTTCTAGGTGTCCCTCAGCTGGATGATTTTGGGCCAGTCAATCTCTCTCAGCCCAACACACTTTATATGATTGTTGTGAATAGGAGACAGAACTATTAGGTATGATATGTTAACTGCCTTGAGTTATATATAAAAAGATGGGATAAAAAACCCAATATTAATAAAAATAAGAAGAATCAGTAAAGAGTCTAACCAAACTGAGCCAGGAAATCTGAGAATGACACAAGTGCCAATAGATTGGAAAAGATTAATTTATGATGGGGGGGGGAGGAAGGAGAATTAACAGGATGTGCAAACTGTTATATGATAACCTTAATCTCATGTGCTAGCAACTTCATCCAATGTAGATTATAGTCCTACATGAAAAAAGAGATGCCATATTTTAAAGATGGTTTTAGAAAAGGCCAAGAAACATGAGACATTTTTGTTGATGCATGCTGAATAAATGAGAAAGTCAAAGAATATCAAAAGGAAGTCACTAAGTGTTTCATTGATTATAGAAAGGGCTTTGATTGTGTTGATCACATAAAGCTATAGAATAAACTCAGAAAAAAAGATTAAAAAAAACATTTCATCGTCCTCATGAGGAATTTATATACAGGTCAGGAATCCATAGTACAGATAGAACATGGTTAAACAAACTAGTTCTAGGTTGGCAAATAAGTGAAACAAGGATGTATACTCTCTCATTTATTCACTATATACTGAATATATTAAAAGAAGCTGGATTGGGAGAAGATGGAATGGTTTTAGACTAAGGAAGAAATATCAATAACCTGTGCCATGGTGCTGACAGTACTCTGATAGCCAAAAATGCAAAGAATCTGCACATTCTAATAATAAAAGTTAAGGAGCAAAATGAAAAAAAGTGGGACCAAAATTAAACATAAAGACAACCCAACTAATGACAACAAATAGAGGAATTAGCCTTAGAATTAACAGTGAAGATACTGAATTGGTAGACAGGATTAACTATCACCAGTAAAGGAACAACCAGTGAAGAAATACACTGAAGACTAATTCTTAGTAGAGCAGCAATGAAGGCCTTAGAAAATATATTTAAATGCAGTGGTGTGTCTATACCTACAAAGATCAGAACTGTGCAAACTATGGTATTCCCTGTGACATTCTATTAAAGCAAAAGTTGGAGTTCGAAGAAACAAGAAGAAAGAATATTGATGCTTTTGAACTTTGGTGTTAGAAAAAGACTCCTGAGAATACCACGGACAGCTAAGAAAACTAACAAACAAAAATAGCTCATTGAACAAATAATCCAGGGTTCTCACTCAAGACACAAATGACTAGGTTCAAATTATCCTACTTCGGACACATTAGGTAAAGACTTCTCTCTCTGCAGAAAGCTCTAATTCTGGGAAAGATGGAAAAAATGGAAGAAGAGCGTGACTAGCAGCCAGATGGATGAACTCAATAACAGAGATGATGAATACACATTGGCAGATCTAAATATCAGATTAAGGTCAAACCATCATGAAGAAAATTTATTTGGTCACTAAAAGTTAACAATGATTTGATGGCACATAATTATAGTAGTAATAAAATTAATATCATTGGAACAGCACAAGCATATCACATGTGTTTAAAACCTAGAGATTTCTTTGTTCAAGCAGTTGTTCATGTATCAGTTTATTCAAGGACCACACATTCAAAGGTGATCTCCAGACACAGGACATGCAATATGTCTGATGTCAGGAGTAAAGCCAAGAGTATATCCTCACTTCTCAGCAATTGTATGATGAAGAATTGGCTATTCTTGCACAGAAAAAAATAAACAGCAGAAACATTTTATATATGCATTGAGCTCTCTGGATTCTGATTTATATCTCCAATTATACAATTTATCTGTTCATCATGAAAATAACCACCTTATGCCATATGTTTGCTGTATAATGCATTTCCTGTTACTTGAACAAAGGATACAAATGCCCCAAATATAAATAGAGCATTGAAAATATGATTTTGGAATGTAAACAGTGCTAGTCCCATATAGCAAAAGATTACATTCTCAGCCAAAAAGTTCATGAACTCGAACAACTGAAATGAAAGAGAAACAAAATTATCATCCAGGTTGAAGTAGATGAATGGGTACTTATTGGGACAAGGTAAACATACCAAACTGGGCATTCAATTCATGATCCACAAATCAGCTCAGATTTTTTTTAAATATTAAGTCCAATAAACAAGATGACAAGCAGATAGTTTAGCCTATTATATACAATTAAAACTCTCGTTCTCATAGGCGAAATGCTGCATCCTAGGACAAGAATTTTTGAACCAAGTACTTTAAATAGTTTTACATTTTGTGTCCAAAATCCAGGACTCAAGACTCCCGAGGGAATAAAATTTGGTAAAGTTGTTACTGTTTCAGTCCTACTGACTGCTGCTGGGCTACTATGGTCACATGATCTTTATTTTCAACAATCCATGACAGTTTCCTAGCCAGTCTCATAATCCCTTTTTCCCTCCCCAGTCAGCAGCAGTCACTTACCTGCCTGCTGGAAAGGAAAAGGAAGGATGCTTCCTGCCAGACTCCTACAAAGAAACTCAATAGGGAAGCTGGCAGGAAGTTGGAAGTCACTCCTGCTCCCGCTGCTTTTTTGCCTGCTCTGGGTCATTCTGTTTTTCTGTTTAGGTAAGAAAATATCTGAAATGATGGCCCAGAAGAGTATGGGCTTTCTAGGATAGGTAAATGTAGAAATCTGCTTAAGTAATAGCCATTCTTCTCTACTTCAGCATACGTAAAATTTATTTTGTACACAAATAAAAATGCGCAAAAGCTTTTTCCATTTTATGAATCAAGCCACATTATCTGTCCCACTTCAAATCTGTAAAACTGTTTTAATAAACATACAAAAATACAGGGATAGCTATACTGTTAGAATACCAGTTGACAATCTTATAAAATCATCAATATACAGTACACATTACATATACTGGCTAAAATGCTATAGACTACTAAAGGATTTATGATAATGGAAACACTAGTTGCCTACCACAAATCACTTTATTTTGTAATTATAGTTTTTAAAATCCCCTTAGGAAACAATTACTTCTATTGTTTCCTATGGGGATTTTAAAGAATATTTTCAAACACATTTTTGTCAAAAGCTGGCTAATTTTTCAGCATGCTGAATAGAAGGTAATACTCTACATGACCTGCCATCCCACCTACTCTTGTGGCCTTTTAAATTCTGTTCATTTGGAACACAGCCAATTCAAAATGTTTTGTTCTGACTACAAACCAAGCATCTGCGCCCACCCTTAATGCACCTGGAAGCTATTTGCCCAACGTGGTATGTAATGAAGCTATTATGTTAACATGGCACCAATATTAAATTTCAGAAAAAGTTTAAACTATTATAATAATTTTTAGAACATCCAGAGTACTTGGAAAATTGCATCCTCTCCATATATATTATTTCTCACTTTTATTCTCTTTGTACCATAACCTTGCCTGCTGCAGATGTCACATATCTATATATTCATCCTCTCCTGATAAAAGCAGCTCTCAATCTGAAACAGACTACTGTATCTACCCTTAAAGAAAGTGTGTGTGTGTGTGTGCGTGTGTGTGTGTGTTTGTTTGTGTTTTATAATACCAGTTGGAAAACTACATCTTGACACATGTCCAGAAATCCAATCACACTTCAGGGGTAGATGGGGAGGGGAAAGGAGGAGATTACAGGCTTTTATTATGGAGAAGTAGACAATTTGGACTTATTATCATGAGTTTTCTGGATGACACTAGGAATTGCCAGCTCTTTGCATATTTGTCCACATGCTCAAAGCAATAAGTTTATACTTAATATTAACTCATGATTTTACGTCATGGTTTGTTGAATATAGTACAGTGGTATGAGTCACATATACTGCTATACTATAAACTAGGCTTTATAAAACACAACATTTGGATTCACAATGACAAAGCAAAAATCAAACAAACTATCTCATGACATAGTATGATGTATGAACTCAGCCTCTGTGCTTTTTAAACTATGGTCAAAGGATAAACACTGAAAACTATCCTAATTCTTAGATAAATTTGTCTTACCCACTTTGATTTAGCAGCGGTTAGATTCAAGGAAGTTAGTCACCAATACATTCATTTAGCAGAGAAGCACTCGTGAACTTCAGAGCCAGTAGAAGCAAATGGGGAAATTCTCCATATTGATCTGACTGTTCTTATTTTATGCTATATATTAAACAATTATCTCCAGATAAAAAGCTGACAACATGGTTCACTTTCTTCAAGTTGATCGGAATGGAAAATTATTAATGTGCTATTTCTGGTCAAATATGGCATCATCCTCTAGAATGACTACATAGGTATTAAAACATGTCTTCAGCAGCTCCAATTGAATACTTATGGTTCCAGCAATAAGGAGATATTGACTTCACACTATATATTTTGAAATTTGAGACTATGAGTCAAATACATATTTAGGCTTGAAAAGGAAAGACTGTGGGGGGGAGGATATAAACTTTTGAATCAACTTAAAAGAGGTCACTCTTAAAAAATTATGACTATTCCATCAATCTAAAGTGAAAAGCATATATGAACTCAGTGCACCATAACTATCTTATGGACCAATTCATTTTTCTTTCTTTCTTTATAGCATTGCAAAATAAAAAGGTTTCTTTCTGGAAGGTTTACTTTAACAGTTATATAGTTCTGTAAATGGCATGCTGCTAAAGCAAATAAAAAAACCCAGAAGTTCATATCCCCCTTCCTTTTCCTAGCTTAACTGCCAAAATAAAGAATGTACTAAAAGCAGATCACTTTATGACATTCACCGCTCTTCCATTCAATGTTTAGCTATTTCTTGTCTGCCAAAAGGTTCTTTTTTTGAAGTCAGCAGGTTAGCTATATTCAGTCTTCTTTAGAATTAATCAAGGGATTCAGATAAAGTTAGCAGAGTATTGATCTTAAGATCCTCTCTTTCCTTCAGGAATTCTATGCAGGGTACACTGAACCCTTGAAACTTTGTTGTTTTCAGTCAGGAACCCTCTTCAATCGTCTTTCATCCATTCTAAATTCATAGATTTTCAACAGTTAACACTGTCTAAACCCCACTTGGTTTGCCAGTCATGTTCTCTGTCTGTTCTCAAGCTAACCACATCTCCCATCTTTCTCTTTCCATAGCACATTTCAGTCTCCTTTTTCCTTTCCAAGAGATTCTTCCTTTCCATGTAAAAATGTTATTTTTTTCAGCCCCAATTGTTTTTGTAGATCAACCTTAACCATCCTAGGCACAAGTTATATGTTTGGGAGATGATGGGACTGCATGGCAGACTCTGTTTACTTGCTTTGTAGAGTCCTTGGTGCTCTTTGAACTTGGTTGTTTGCTTGCAGATGTTTCATTAGTCAACTATGTAACATCAGCAGTGCAAATAAGTGTAGGGTTTGCTCCTTGTTTATATGCAAATAATTCTTGACTTATGATTGTAATTGTAATTGAGTCTGGAGTTATGGTCATAAGTTTTTGAGGTTGCTGAAGTGACCAGATCTGATTTTATGATTTTTTTTTGTGGTGATCATTAAATTTACTTGCTCATTTGGTAATCTTCCTAACAATATGAGTAATATGACAGTGGAAACAAACATTTATAGAGGCATTGGCTTCCTTCACTGAATTTCTTTGTAGCCAGTTTGCGTGTGACAAACTTGTTATGTGAATTCTCCAACATGGCTATGGCTTGTACCTGAGAATGCTCACACAAAATTTTAGAAGTTATTAGTTGTGATGTTCTTCCTTACAGTTTGTGAAGAAAGGTGTACTCAATCCTCCTGACCCAAGAAAACAGAATCTAGGCTAGTAGAAATGAAATTCAAATCTTTCAAACCTGACATAATTCACACATACACACACACATATATATCTAATGATACACAATTATTTGAGACAAGGGAGCACAGATTTTTGGATTTCAACAAAAGGAAAGGCATACTTTGAAGCCACATTCTCTATTTTTTTTTTATTGAAAATTTTTAGGTTTTACAAAAAGAAAAGATTCCCCTCCCCCACACCCTCCCACCCCTCCCCTACCCTCCCCCAATCTTCCCAGAGCTTAATTAAAAATTTTTTAAAAGAATCTTGAAACACTTATAAACCATAAACAAATCTAAATACGTTAATTAAACAAATTATAAAATAATTAACAACAATATATAAAAAAAATACAAGAAGAAAGAAAAGAAAAAACAGAAAAATAAAAAAAAATAAAAAAATAAAAATAAAAGAAAATATCTAAGAAATATCTTAAACTTTAATTATAAATTATTCAAAAACTAAGTAATATTTTTTTATATCCAACTTATATTGTATGAAATCTATCCATCTTTTCCATACCAGGAGATACTTCTCCTGCAATTGATCTTTCAAGAAAGCCGAAATCTTTCCCATTTCTGCCAAATAAGAAACTTTAAAAAACCATTCTTGCAATGTAGGCAAAGATTCCTTCTTCCAACATTGCCCTACTAACAACCTGGCCACTGTAAATAAATTTAACATCAATATAATCTCTTTACTGTCACAATCAGAAACAATACCTAACAAAAACAATTGTGGGGTAAATTTTATCCTTCTTCTGAAAATTCTTTGAATATTCCACCATATTTTAATCCAAAAAGCTTTTATATTTTTACATAACCACCAGATATGGTAATAAGTAGCATCCAAACATCCACATCTCCAACATTTAGGCTGCAAGTCAGGATACATACGAGACATTTTTTGTGGATCAAGGTGCCATCTGTAAAACATTTTATAAAAGTTTTCCCTTAAATTTTGGGCTTGTGTAAATTTAACATTCCTCACCCAAATAATCTCCCAGGTATCTAATAAAACTGGTTCCTCAAAATTTTGTGCCCATTTAACCATACATTCTTTAACTAATTCTGCTTCTGAATCCAACTCTACTAACACCCCGTAAATTCTCTTAATGTGAGTTCGTCTTTGATCTTTTATTTGTTTTAACAAATTCTCATCTTCTCTAAGCAAACCTAAATTACAATCTATCTTCCACCTCTCTAC